CAACGTGCCATTTCGGTAGATGCACTGGGACCGCAAAACCACGCCGGTCAATGAAAGTCCTGCCGTAGTTTGCAGGCGTAAACTGAAGTTGTTTGCTGATTGGCGGAAAGGTGGACCGTCCACGGTGGTTAGCTCACCTGAGTGGAGTAAGCCGGGCTTTTTAAGACGGTTTTGAAACAAAGAAAACTGGCGACTTCCATTTCGCCTAATTATCTTTCCTTCGTGATTAAAAAATGAGTTGAAGTACTCAGCTTGATCATTATGCGGACTTTTGAAAGTGAGCCACCATTCTTCTGCTCTCCGTGTTGAGTTTCTTATGTATACATCGGTTGGACTATTTCGCCCGTCATAAACCGACTTTTACCCCTCTTTGTTTATTCGAACGAAAAAAATAAGTGCGTGACGCTAGTACAGGTTGTGACTCATTCGAGGACGATTTGCATGATGTAAGTAGTTGCAGTCTTCGTCCATTATACATTGTTTGTGATCTGCCCGGGGGTGTGTGATTTGTGTACCTAATTTTATTCACCCCGAATTGAGGATATTTTTGCTCAAAATAAGGCGTACCTCTCTTTGTACAAGTCCGTAATTTGGAGGCCTCTAGTATCTCACACCCATTGCTGCTGATTTGTTGTTATGAGACTTTCGGACCCTTTGTTGGCGAACGCTCTCCGATCGCTAACGGCATATGCTCACTCTCAAGCTCCAAAGGTAAGACTGACTGATGATGGCTAATGAGCCAGAAATTGCCATTCCAGTTTCCTTGCTCTTTGCCGCTAATGTTCATTGGCTAACAGAGGTGTCTGAGGGTAACAGTGTCGCACATGAGCAGTCCAACTCAAACTGCTAGTCCCCCCAGCAACGGAATCAGGAGGCACGCAAAGGTAGCGAACAACTCTTATCTAAGTTCATCCGCCAATCTATGCGGATTCTGTGGTGTGACTGCTACATTCAACCCAATCTCTTGAGGATAACGGGGCGAGCTAGGTACCAGACTAAGTCAGCATGAACTTACACACTTCACCTCATTTATAGAATGGATCTGAACGAATGGCCCCGCTTCCCTCCAAGGAAATCCCATATGACAATTCGACCGTCGCCTCCGATAAAGTCCATCGTATACTCCACATCGAGGTGGTGCAGGACGGTGACATGCACGTGAATTAGTTTTAAGTGAAAGTGGACTTTCGCTGCATCTATCACACACACACTCTCTCTCTCTTCCATTTCCCACATGTCAAGTAAAAAGCAAGAAGAGACGACGCAGACTGATCGGGCTAGCAAAGATGAAAAAGAACCTTTGGGCCCTACCCTTGACTAACATCGCCGACAACATGCAGCCTATTCTGGTGAGAGGGAGGGGGACAGCTCTTATGCGCATGTCTGCGTAGCACCTCTTCCTTCCCAAGGCGCCGTCTACTTTTTACTGCGCTCTGATTGATTGATCTCTGGGGGCCACTGTGATCAGAAGCCGCGAGATGTCAACTGTGGTCAGGTGGAATGCTAATCGCTGACTGAATCATGTACAGGCTTGGCCGATGAGACACGAACAGTGTGTCTTAGCGCCTCCCCTTATCAGTGTGTGAACCCAGTAGGTTCGGCGACATGACAAGAATGTCCGGGTGACGCCTGATTCTAGATGGCAGCCTGCGGCTCGATCTCAACTGGCGGGCTTAGGTCGTACGCTGCCTCACCTAGTTTCCAAGACTTGTTCCATTTGTCCTATTTGCCTCGACTCCTGCGACATCACAATTTGAATTTATATTTATGCCCTGCTCTATCTAAGGATCGTCTACTAGATCGTCCACTTTTTGACGGCGCCGAAGATGTGCTTTACAAATAAACCTTATTATTATTAGAGTGTAATTCCGTTAGTTTTCCTTCTCCTGACTGTCCGCCTAGTTCTCGGCCCTCAATATCATTCCACTACACCTCCTCTTAAACAAGACATCTCGTTGGGATTCCCATGACTTGATATTATTTTGTCTAATGCCTGCGCCAGGGGGCCCAGATGGTCGAACTTTCATCACGCAAAAATCCAGTCTGGGTGATGAACGTTCAGCAGGTCACAACCAGCACGCTGGCCATCAAGTAATTAACGCACAAGCGGGCAATTATCATTGATAGGAGGGAGCCGTTAGTTGTCATAGGTATGCGGTATCATGATGACATACCACAACTCCCTGTTTCTGCTATTGTCCCAGATAATTGATGGGTGACGGATTCCCAAAAGTCAGGCGAATAAAATTCTTGTCCCAGTAATCAATCCGGTTTCTTCTCCTTTGCACTCAATTATTCCAATCTGGCAAGCGGAAATCGGTCTTTTCTCCTAACAACTACGGGATCCGTCTGGATTCCACCTTTTCGCCTCAATTCTTCCCACTTATAATATGAGTTCACCGAATGATTCCCTATATAAGGAGTCCAGTTTGACGAACGTACCCTTCGAGTATTTAGCCCCAGACCTTTACAGTCATATGAGGGTTCAAACAAGTGTTCAAACATTCGATAAACCGTAAGTATGGGAAGAGGGTTGAGGGTGTTCAGAGGTCAGGTGTTATAATCATATCCTACCAGAAGATGAGGAAGAAAAAATGCGTCCGATAATTATCCATTACGTGGCAGAAGGTGTGTGCACACCCTCTATTTATTTGAAAATATTATTCCACAATTTCTTCTCCATTTGCCGTGAATAAAATTAGGCACGCAAACCAACTAACACCGGGATCAAAAACCACGCATAATAGCCGAACAATATAGACCGTCGTCCTTCAATGAATCGCAAAATTTAAGCCAAACTCAACTTCTTTCAAAACGCGGCTAGCATCGTGCGCTAATGACCCCTATTGTTGTTGTTGTTGTTCGAATAGAGAAAGAGGGTTAAAAGCGGTTTACTTGGCGCAATAGACCGACCGATGGTTATATAAGAGGTGTACATGTGAATGGAGAACAGAATAAAACGACGGCTCGGTTTCAAAAGCCCGCACCGATGTGTGAGCACAAATACTGTGTTCGGCTTCAACCAGGGGAGCCTTAGATTCTGTCTAAACGCCTTCTGCGAGCTCGCCTACCTACATCAGTCCGCCGAAAAAAAATCTACAAAGAAAACTTACTTCTTATCTGTCAGGTATAACTTAGGGGAATTGCTAAAAAGCAAGCATTCTATCCTAGGCTTCCTTTTCCGCCGAATTTCTACCCTCGTCAGGGACTTTGCTAGGCGCACTTGATATAGGCAACCTCGAGAATGTTGCGGATTGTACTTCTGCACGCGGTGGATGATCTGTGCATATCGACCGTTTTTCCTGTGGAACGAAAACCAAGGGTCCATGAACTACCTCGGTTTTGAATACCGGTGCCGAGCGAGGTTGTAAATTTATCTAATCGTTGAAGCCTTGAGGTAAAAAACAACACCGGATCGAGGTCAGTGACATCGGCCTCATGAGATGGAAGAGGAATAAGAACAACGCGTCTTCAATTAGGTAACTGTGTCGGATCGAAAGTATTAACACTGAGCTCGTGAGGTTGACAACGAAAACCGTGTCCAAGCCACCTCAGTTGTCTTTTTCAATGGCCTGGAATACCCCTGCGAGGTTGTCTCAGAGAATGCGGACTGTCTTTTTTGCGAGAACGTTGTTGTATTTCCCTCAAAAGATAGTCCGCAATCAGTAGGGGTCAAATACCTGCAGGTTTCGCTTATGTTCCAAGCACACAGCTCAACAGCTATTCAGGGGCCTTATTTGACGAATGTCCTATACACTCGACCCCTCGTGGCGATGAGGATTTCGCGTCAGGTTTATAGGCACTTTCTGCGGATGGTATAAACAATGTAAGTAGTAAAGATTTGGGAGACAATGGCATCCTTAAGCTATCGAGTCGGCAGCAGCCTCACTTCCGGGCACATACATTTCGGGATGATGCCTTATAATGGCCACCAATGCAGTTCAAAAACAGCGTCTGTGGATAAATTTACGGACAAAGCAAATTATTTCAACCCTGACAACACATATTGTAGATGTTCAAAGCTTGAGAATAAC